GGTGCTCTGCACACACTGTCACCAAAACCCTCTTTTTCAGATGAACAGAACAGCCATCAGCAGAATAACTCTATTTCAAAAGGAGGACAGTGGCAGACACAGATAATGGTACAAAGCAGAAGAGCAGTAATATGGGCATCAAAGCCTCACTCTGTTTTTAACAAAGTAATGTGGGACCACATCGCAGCACCACAGGCTGGACTTGTTGGATGGATATAAGAAGAAAGAATAAAGAGATCTGAGTGTAAATGTGACCAGTGAATTATATGTGGTAATGTGTAGGGAGACTTATGTCTAGCTTGTATGGAGGGTCCCTGTTTCTTCGCCGCAGAATGAGAAGAAAGTTCAAGAATGACAGGAGACAAACAAGTCTCTGGGTACAAAAAGTTGCCAAGAAATTTCTTTTCTTTTTTTTTTTCTTCCTTGATGGGAAACCTGATGCCCAGAACCTTATTAGAAAGAAAATCTGAAAGCAGTGTGAGATAGAGACAGAGAAATGCAAGAAGAAATTAGACAAGAAGGGTGCTCAGTCACAGCTGGTAGAAATACAGCAGAGTGGTACAACTATGAGACAGGTCCTTTTTACTGCTCTTTTTACTGCAGGAATGAGTGAAAGGTTCCCCAGCTGCTTTGGCTGCCATTGAGATCAGAGCTACTGAAGGAGCCAGGCAGAACAAAGGGTCTCACTCTGGAGGACTGAAAGGGAACCACAGTTTGATATGTAGAAGAAAAACTGATGAGCACCAGTGTAGTTCACAAAAATCCAGCAAAACAGCAAGACTGGAAGAGGTAAAGAAGCTGGTTTAAAGAAAAGGAGTATAATCACCTGGACATGAATTTTGAGTTGTTGCAACAGAATATCACTTTCTGGGGTAACTTAAGTTTGTAGACTTTTTTGCTTTCTTCCTCAAGAAGGTCACCTCCATACCTAGCCTTTCAGGTAAGTCACATTTTTCTCTTCCAACATAGTATAATATTTCTCAGTACATGTTCAGGATAAGGTCATCAGCAGGAAAATAATTTTGAAGCTCTCTGAGAACAATGGGACTAAAAGAAAATGGTTTTTACTTTCTGAATGTGCTGTCCTGTTAAAAGGACACAGAGCCTACTCTTGCTTTTGTTGACAAGGCAAATGGTGCTACTACTTATGACTAAAAAATTAGTATCTAGGGACCTCAAGTAAACTCCTCCTCTCACTCCTCCTTCTACCATATGGTCACAATGACTTAACACATTTAGATTTTGTAATGCCAAAAAAATAAACTTAAGAAGGAAGGAAGGAAGCCAAGGAAACCTTTCTAACCAGTAGTACATTTGCTTTCCTTTTATATTTCTATACAATTTCCTTCTATCAGAAGAATGTACTGAGGTTGGACAGACTGCTATTAACACTTGCCATTTGCAAAAATGTTCTTCTCACTGAAGGTACAGTGAAATTTTTAAAAAACCCAAGAGGTTTAGTAGAGAATATAGGTCTTAAAAGATGAGAGCTGGTCTGGTCTGGGCTGGCTCATGTGGAGTCTACATGTCACCCCACACGGCTGGCCTCAGCTTCACCAAGGGAGCAGAAATCAAGAGAATTAGAATTTGTTTCTTAAAGCATTATTTTTCCAGTCAGGCTTCAGTCTATTAGAATTAGAGCTAATCCTTTTCCACCTTTTATACTGCCTAGCAAAACAGCTGCTAGGCAGGTTGGTGATAATAAGTATCAGCCCACAGCAAGCTCCAGAGAATCACTTTGTTACACATACTTGTATTTTATCTATGTGATAGATCTTAACCACATTGTTAAACTTACAGAATGTCTAATTATTAGTTACACAAATCACTCATCTTCAATTACATCAGCCTTCTGTTTGCTCTCCCTGTCACATTCCCATGACTATATCATTATTAAAATTTAAACTCACATTTACTTAATAACTAAAAACAAATGTATAAAAAAGTAACCTCAAACTACCAACTACTACAGAGCTTTCAAGATTGTTTCCTACTTGCATTTTTATGAAGTTAAAAAAGAACAATTCTCAGAGTCACCACTTACCATTGGAAAACAAATAGTAATTTTCCATGAAATAAAACTATTTTACAGTAACACAGTTCTCTACACTACTCTCAACCCAAATCCTTTAACACTGCATTAATGCCAGTACCTGAAAATGACCTGTTCTCTAGCTTTTACTAATCTGTGCAGATTATCTGATTTGCAGGTAACGTGTCCTTCAGGGAGGGGTAGGTGGCTCCATGGGAGCCAAATGAAGTATGGTAAGGACTGTTAGTTCGTGTTGAGTGTATTTCAGTGGCAAGTTGAAGTAAAGCACCTCTAGAGCCTTTGCCTTTTGCCTCTGGTAAGCACCATCTTTTCATCCAACAGTTTAAAGAGCTCTTGCCCTTGTTTGACTCCTTTAATTGTAGCTGTTGTGATGGCACATCCTTCACCAGGCCCTTTGCTGTTCTTCCCCCATGCTCTATTAACCTCCACACCACACGGGCCGACTCTCAACACTGTTTTGCCAACACCTTTCAGAACAAGGAAGGATAGCTAACTTTGGGAAGATGTAAAAAGCCAGGACTTCAGCCTCTTTAAAGTCCACACAGAAAAGGTAAGACCTCACACAGGTTGAAATTTCAAATGAATGCTTTCCTAAGGATCAAACAGGAGGAAAGAAGACGTTACTCTCGGAAATAAAGCCTGTGTACAGGGCTGCCCAGGCTAACACAGTGCTAGAAATCTAACATCCCTCAGCTCCAATTTAGCTTCTTTGTCATACTCCTCCCTACTTTCTATTCCTGCCAAATCACCTGAAATGTTCTAGCTGTGGTTTTTTTCCAAAATACAATTTCTTCCAATAGCCTGAGAGATACCAACATTAAAAAAAAATGTCTGTTTCTAAAGATAGAGCTGATCTAATTTCTTGGAAGTCTTCCTAATGATTCTTTGAACTGCTATAAGCCAAACAGGGAAATTATGGCCAAGCAGCTTTTGAACAAGCATGGTTTTGAGCAGTTTTAGAGCATATTATCTTGTTATTAATAACACTTTCCATTCAGCTTCCCAGTCACAATGGAATGTGCTTTAATTTTGTGTGGAACTGGTACACTGGTGAGCTTTATTCAAGAGCTTTACTTCTGTGAGGTGATTTAAAGTTTCAGCTCCTTCTGTAGGAATATCTGCAATATCATGCTTCTTCTAACTCAGATCCTCTCTGCTACTGACACAGGAACCAATTAGAAAAAGATAGGCACAGCAAGCTTTCAGCAGCACCAGCACTGTGTTCACAGCAATTAAGTACTTCTCACAATTCAATAAAACTGTCATTTATCTCCAAAGAATATATACTGCAGTCTCCCCAGTACCATTTTGGTGTACACTTCCATAGAGTTCTTTCCTAATTTGTACATCAGTCCAGATTTCCTAAGAAACAGGTTTCAAGATGGTGAGAAAGATGCCTGCAGTATTTCCAAGTCTCATGGGAGATTTCTTCCTTCACAGGAAGGAGTGGTTTCAACTAAATCAATCTTGGAAAAAAAATAATTAAAATAGTGCACTTTCTGTGAATATATAAGGACAAAACTTTTCAAGAGACACCAAAACTTCAAAGTTTTCCTTGCCTATGTCTTAACTTCCATCCAACTCCAGTCTCCCAGTGAGCCCAGCTGTCTTTGTAAGTAATGGGGAGGTGAGGGTGTCAGCACCTTATACATAATAGTCAGCACCATGTATCAGTTGGATCTGTGACTCCACATGACCCACTGCTATCCTGGCTCCTAAGATCAAAGTATTCTCTGCTTGACTGTGCAATCAGAGAGAATTTAAAGGAAAGCAATAGTAGAAGACTACAGAATACTTCAGGCACAAAACATTCCCCTGGCAACATTAGAAAATAAATCATATAAATAATAATGGCAAAATACACGATTCTTCAAAGGAAACAGCTGAAGGGAATGAAGCAACCAGGTACTTCAGCAGCGACTGCACAATAAACCTAATGCTGATATATTTTTAAAATCTTTGATGCACGCATATTAATATACATTCAGGACCAAAGTGTTGGCAGTGTCCTTGAATTTGCAGCCTGTGTGCATTCCCAAGAGCCAGCAAGGTAAAAGACATACTCGTACAATGTTTGTTCAAACTTCTTATGAGGCAAACTATCCCTTAATGAAATCCATTATTTCTATAGCACAGATTTCAAAAACGACAAAGGACACCAGCGCTTGTGACACAGATTGTAGATGCATCTTACAGCCTAAGGGCCAGGGCAGCAGGAGGTGAAGTATGTCTGTGTCTTCTCTATAAACAGCATAAGCCAGAGCACACAAAAAGTAAACAATGAACAACAGAGTATTCCCTTAAAGCTGACTTGTAAGAAACAGCTAAAACAACACTCTGTAAATAAGCATATGCTACCAGATTAAGCATATGCTACCAGATAAACCTTTTATGCTTAAAGCCAGAATACAGTCATAACTGAGACAGCCCTTTATTATGATGAGCCTCCTGCTACAGCTAATATCAAGGTGTTCAGATGCATCCTTGTCTGGTTTTCAGCAGGTTCTTCTCCCATCTCTTTCACCCTCAGATCTAGACACATTGAACACTGGGGACTTTGACATCCAGAAAAAAAATAAACTATGAAGCTCATATCCAACTCTAGCAAACCACGAAAAGGATCGAACATGCTCCATGAATGTGAGGAGAATGATGATTTCCAACAATGACATGGAGACATAGAATTTTAAGCACCTTGCTGTAGACTACCTGGTGACCCAGTCTGTGAACCAAGACCACCACACAGGAGTCCTAAAACTGGGTGCTTTGCTTTAACTACTCAGTTTTTCTCATTCCCTGCCTGTAACAGAAGATACCTCCCAGAGATGAAGTGCTTCCTCTCCCTGAGGGAACCACTTCCAGGAGTGATGCTGGCCATTTTCATTGCCAAGTAGCTGGTGATGAAATGACTGATCACCATGAAGGGGAAAGATGAGGAGACTCATACCTATCCAGTATATCTGGGAGAGGTAAGATCATCCACTGCCATATTCCAAAACCTTCGCTGTTATCTGAATGCCAGAATGTCTGGCTCTGTTCCTTTCCTGTCTTGTTCTCGACCAGCACCAGGGATACATTTCCCAGCAAGACACCATGGATGAGCCATGACATTCGTAGCTAGAAGAAAGAGAACATATGAGATTAAGCATCACAAACATTATCCAAAAGTTAACAAAATTCCCAACTCTTCTTTCATTTCTTTGTTTTCTAATCACCAAAAAGTTGATTCTCCCTCCCTTACGCTCATATAAACCCTTTAGAAAACTCCACAGATTTGGAAGTCTGTAATACTTAGTATATACTATTTAACATTGGAACTACTGGCTTGTCTTTTTGGTGAAGTTGAGTCCAAAACCTCTCTGTTTTAGCTTTCACGTATGTGCCTGTAATTTTAAAGGGATAAGCTAATACCTCTATTATTTGCAGTACAAAGGTTACACTCCCCTAAGATGCCAGCACCTAAGAGAGTCAAATTAAGACTAACAACTTTTTCAGCAATAAACTTTTATATTCCAGCAGCACCAAACACAGGGAGAATAGCTGCCTGAAATAAGCAGGCATCATTAGTAATCACATTCTCATCCCCCAGATACCCTTTTCAAAAATCAGTTTTTCCTTACCCCTTTCCAAGTTTCTAAAGACTTTCCAATTAAAGTTAAGTAATAATTAGGTTTTTATTAATTATAATACCTTAGGGAACAGGTTTTCTAACATTTTTGTCACATTTAATATAATTTAGTCCATTTCTATGCATTTATCCTCATAAGTAAAATTATTTCATGTAGTTTTCTCATTTTATTACTTTCTCTCCCTCATCATATGAAAAGAAAAACAATCCCTTCTACCTCCAATTAGTCTCAGAATCAGTATTATATTAATATAGTTGTCTAATTTTCTTGGGAAGAAGAAGAGCTAGCTCTTTGTCGATAAAGAACATAAGTAAAATACACATATTATTACATGCAGGAGCTGGGTCTCATCTCAATATCTAGTAGAGGTGAGAATGCTGAAGGAATGAGTTTATTAAAGCTACATTAATAATGGATTTTTGGACTCAAGAAAGCATTCAGCACAGTACCTAGCGTCCATGCGTATTAAAAAATAGCCCTCTGGTTTTTAACACTTCAAAGGCAATGCCTAAGTCAGGAGGTTAGGTATTAAATTTATATTTTTTACAGGAATACTCCATAACATTACTTACTTTCTTGCTTTGATAGCACAGAATATTCATATACATTTCTCAGCATGAAACACAACTGCTAGATTTTGCTTACAGTTCCTATCTCATGGTGTAAGTCTGTCCTGGCAGACAAATTCGATTCAGGGGTGAAAAGGACAGGAGTGTTGCTCTTATTCCTCGCTAATGCCCACAATTCTGGGGCAGGTGAAACAAAATTATGAGTACCCATTACATTCACTATTAGTATTGAATTTAGGTAAACAGTGCAGTTCACCTGCCTGTCTCCAAACTTACAAAAACAGCAGTGACTTTGATGACATTGTAAAACTATAACAGAAACCAAAAAAAATCTAGATGTGGTTCTTCTCTCACTCCAGATCCAAAGTGACTGTACTTGCCTGGAATCACTCCTGGGTCTGATGAACTGCTAGTGCGTATGACACAAACACTGACAAGGTGAGCAAACTGATAGGCAGGTATGGGTCTATGAATCCATCTCATGACCTCATTTTGACCACAGATGTTCGAGACTGATGCACAGGTTTTCTGTAGTTCAGCGAATCATCACTGGGTCTTACCAAACCACAGCACTTCTGGGGACAAGCCACTGCTCAAGTCTGACTACCAGTTCACTCTCACCTCAGGTCTGGGAAAGGACTCAAGGAGTTTCATGTCCATTTCCATAACATCAGACAGCAGAAACTATAAGATGAATTGTGAGGATTTTCACCTGGCAGACACCAGAGAGCAAAAGCAGAGCTGAGCAGGACTGCAAAGAACTGCTTCAGATACGACACAAAATTATGTCCACGGGGGCAGCTGGTGGAAGGCTGAGTTCATACCCACAAATTCACCAGAACCAACGCTGGTAGAAGAGGCTGCTGACAAAGGTTTATGGTTTGAAGGCTGATGCCTTCACACTTGATATCTGCATGACTACTCCTAACTCTTAGTGCATACATGGTCTCAGTGTCAGGTGACAATCAAGATTAAATAACCTGTTGGGCATTTTATACTTTCAAGCCTATGAAGTGAGACTACTGAAATTACAGTGAAGATTGCACTCCCTTAAGTATCATTAGAATACCTTTCAGACCCACTTAAGTAATTTCCTTTGAGAAAACTGATCAGGACTAAACATTTTTTTTTTTTTTTTTAATTACTTTGGAATGCCAGTGGACAATTAAAGCACTCAACCTATAGCAGGGAAAGCAACTCCTCTTACTGAGAGTCCATAAGTGAAACATTTTTAGGACCCTAATTTCAACTCTATTGCAATGCACTATGTGAAGTTTCTAACACAGATAAGTTGGAGCAACTTCACTGTGCCATTTTGACAGTGCAAAATTTGAGCAGTAAAGCCCTGAAGATCCTACTATGCAGGAGCTTTCAGACCTCCGCCTCTCTGGAGACCTGCCAGACAGTAAGAGGCAACATCTACATGATCAGAAGTGAGAAAGGAGCGAGCCTTTGATAGCTATTCACGTAACACTAGAGCAAAAGCTGAAGCAGTTGATGAATTGGAATGGATGCCTTTGCACACATGTCAGCTGTTTGAAGGAAAGATGTAGTTGGCATTAGATGTGGGAGATCAGCTCATTGGCAAAGTGCACTGTGCAGACTCTAATGAACTGGCTCTGAGTGAATTGACTGGCATTGTGTCCAAACGGGCATTTTTGGCTGTGATTTCCATGGTTTCTAAGCTTCACAGCAGGGCAGTCCAGGTCTTTTCACACCTGCTGAAGTGAACCAGAGCAGATGATGAGCTGGATGCCATAGTAAAGACTTCCGAATGGAGCTGGCATTCATGCTACAAAATACAGCATCAATGATGGCAGATGGTACTACATACACGATGCGTCCTGTAAGTAGTGCAGTGGCACATTTGGAATAATTTGAATCTGGGCTGTTGGTGGCATACTCCTAACATTATCTATCAAACATCTCCCTCTGTGTTAAACCATCAGCAAAATATTCAGAAGCTAGAAACATCACTGCAAAATTAATTAAGCATTGCAGGTAGGCATTGGCTCAACAGCATCTTGCTTTCCAGCTTTAGAAGCCACCATAGCTGGTGATCAGCTGTTCATGTGCAAACCCACTGACTCAGTAAATGAAATGTTCTAAACTGATTTGGGGAAAACTAACTGGAGAGAAAGCCCATGGTAAACACAGAGCATATTGAGGCAAAACTCAGGTCAGATGGCCACATGCATTGCACTGCAAACACCATCTGGAAAGATGCCTGGTGAGAATCCCCTTAGCCTTTGAGTTTGTGGAATTTCTGAACTGGCAAACGGGAGACTCAATTCATTTGAGAAAGAAAAAAAACCTAATCCTTACCAACAGGGCTTGGCAAGTTTAACAGAGAGGTGAAGAAAAACAAGAAGGGTAGATTTTCTAGCACAAGCTGCATCAAGACCACCTGAGAACTGAGACTTGCATTTTACTTCCTTATGCACAAAAGAAACAAAATACCAAGAACCTTCTGGGTGAAGTTTGGGCCTGCTAACACCTGTGGGTCTACTTTAATGGCTAGAAAAGTTTCAGTACAAGCTAGTGCTTAGATGTCTGACTGTGTGGACACACACTCTCACAGCAGCATAAATAAAACGCTCCTCAGCAGCACTCCAGAGAGTTACTTTTTCTTTTTTCTCCCTTTCTGAGTGGCAATCCCCATGACTATTAGCGTTACCCTCCTACCTGGCAGGAAAAGCTGGTTGTCAGTCTTTAGCACAGGTAACCCAAGAAAGGGGAAAAGATGAACATACTTCAAACAGGGCTTGGAATAAGGTATTTTTAAGAAGACAGAGAAGAGCCTACAGGAATCCTGCTCCCAAGGAAGCGCAATAGTTGGATCCCACTGGTGCCTATCTTGCTACCCATCCCCCCACAGGTTTGCACCTTGTGAGACAGCACATTACTTAGTTCTCGTGCCCCCAGTCCTTGCCCTCCACCTATAATACATGCTCAAAGGAATTGCTCAGAATTTTCTTGACCAGGAACTGTGGATTCTTGAAATACAGGCATATTTTTTTCTGACTCTTGTCTTGACTCTTCTTCACTGGACAGGAAACAGCAGAAGTTGTTTTCAGATGTGAATGCACTGACCCAGTAAATGTAAGTCAGGTGTTAAGAGAAGCTTGGAAAACACTTCATCGTTGAGTAGAAACTGAAGCTGCAAGTTGGAATATGGTTTACACGGAATTAGACAATAGCTACAGACACCTTTGCCAAGTCTAAGTTTTGTATATGAATATGAACTATGCTTGAGGCATGAAGTTTATCCCACAGGCAGTATTGTTTTTCTCACTAAAAATGAGAAACAGTTGCACACAACAGTTCAAGCAAAGACACCTATTGGGACTGCTCACCAATTTAGACCTGGACTCTTATGAATAAGAAAGACAAGCAAAAGGTGTTCTTCCCGTTTTTTGACCAGATTAACAACTGTGCACAATCAGTCTCTCTTGCAGCCTGCTGCCACTTCTGCTTTTGCTTAGGACTCAGATGTGCAAGCAAAAATGTTATGTAAATGATAAAATGGTAACTAACTGATCTGATCATATAGATTTAAAATACCTAGACACGCAAGAGAAGCTTGTATTTTATATGAACAGACTCTCATGCTATTTATTCTCACATTATTTCTCACTTGTGTTTGCTTTTATAAAATCAAGAACTTAATAAAAGCACCTTCATTTCAGGAAACAAACAAATAAATATAAGGTTGCCAACAAAAGAGAAAGGAAGAGAAAAAGTTCATCATTTTGCTGTCAGAGTACTGTGAAGTAACAAGGCCTTCAAAAAATTTCAGATATTGTAGATCTTCCAACCCAATGACACAGAAGCCAGGTGGCAAAGGAAGCAAGAAAAGATAAAGACAGATAACTGTGAACAAGCTGTATAGATTTTAAAAACAACATTTTAAAATAAA